GGGGCGGGGGCGGGGCGGGGCTGGGCTGGAGGGCGGCAGGGGGAGGCACCAGGACCCCTGAGGCTGCCTCCCACCCCCACCCCCACCCCCAGATCTCCCACACCTTCACCGACTATGGGCCAGGCGTCCGCTTCGTCCGCTTCGAGCATGGGGGGCAGGACTCTGTCTACTGGAAGGGCTGGTTTGGGGCCCGGGTGACCAACAGCAGCGTGTGCGTGGAGCCCTGAGTGACACCCCCGCCCCACTCCACCGTCCCCCAACTGCCCTGGAGGGGCAGATAAGCCTTAACTTAGTTCGTAGCCTCCTCACCTTCCCCAGCCACCCTACTCCTGCCCTTGCTCCAAGCCCAGCCCCCACTCGGGGAGAGAGGGGTTTTGTTGGCATATATTTGCATATGTTTGCATCTTCTAGAATGTAAGATCAGTGAGGGTGTGGGCCTGGGCTGGGCCCACTGCTGAATCCCCTGCACCTAGCACAGTGCCTGCTGCAACGTGGGCGCTCAATAAACATTATTTGTCTGAGGAAGGAATGAATGAACAAACGGATGGGCACCTCTCTCTTCCCATCCTTTTGTATCTCCTGAGGGCCCTGGCCCAGCCTGGAAAAATACTTGGTGGGGCTCCAGTTGCTCGGGTTTCCAGGGCTCTTGGGCCAGCATGGAGCCGGCAGGACTTGGACCGGCAGGGCTGGACAAAGGCTGTGATTGTGAGGCCCAGGAGGGGCGAGCTGGGCCTGGCGCCTGACTGACACCCAAGCTGCCCAGAGGCCAGAACAGGGTGTATGGGGGGGCCGCCCTCCAGGCCTCTCTTGGTCAAACTATTATCCTAGGCATTGCTGCCCCCCTCACCCCTCCCGTCCCTTTCTGAAGGCAGGAGGTGGTGGTAGCCGTGGCACCAGGTGTAGGCTACCAGTTCTCCTGGGCCCAGGGATGGACGTCAGTGCCCCGGTGGGGCATGAGGAGGTGGGGACTGGGGGAGTACAGAAAGGGTCGCTTTGGTGTCCCTCTTCAGTTCATGCCCACTTCATGCTGTCCTCCCTGGCCTGGTGTTGGACTGGACAAGAGTCATTAGCATCTAGTCTCGGTCACTTTCCAAGCCCTGACCAGAAGCTGGCCCCTGGGCCTGGTTTGGGGGAGAGGTGGGGGCAGGGGACTATACTCTCTGGCCTCCCCAGCAGCTCTCAAAGCCAGCATCTCCCCAGGACTCTCAGCTGCTGGTCTTGGGGGCTGTTGAAGTTCTTTGTATTAGTCCATTTATGTTGCTTATAATGAAACACCTGAGACTGGGTGACTTATAAAGAAAAATGAAATTTATTACTTACAGTTTCTGAGGCTGGGAAGTCCAAAGTCCATCTGGTGGTAGCGACAGAGACCCAAGGGTCTCACATTGCAGGATGGTGGAAGCAGAGAGAGAGACAGACTGTCCTCTTCTTTTAAAGCCCTCAGAACCATTCCCCTGACCATTTTTAATCCATGCACTACTACATGGTCCTACAACCCAATCACCTCTTCAAGGCTCCACCTTTCAATTACTCATAATAGGATTTCCCACCCTCTTAACAGTCACAGTGGGGGCTAAGTTTCTAATACATAAAACTTGGGGGACACAATTCAAGCTTCAGTGAGTTTTAGGGGGACATAATTCAATCCACTACAGTCTTGAAACATCTGCCCTTATCTCCTGAAATGGAGAACAATAACATCACCAAGACCCTCCAGCTTTGCTTTCATTTTGAGCCCCGATGCTACCTGCTGGTCAGGTGGGGTTGAAGGGCTCAAGTTGGTGCCTGCCTGCAATTGTTCATTCAGTCACCCATTCATTCACAATTCCTAGAGTCCCAACCCTGGGCCACGCCCTGTGTGGGAGGCCCTGAAGTTACAGGGTTGAATAAGACTCTGTTTCAGGCAGGATCAGCAGCCTGGCCATATTGAGGATGGGACACCCTTGGAAGGGATGTGTCCAGTGTCCTGGGCCCTCCAGTCTAATGTTGGAGCTTAATCCCTGCTCTGGGGGCATCCTCAGTCTGACAGGGGAGAAAAAACCTCGGCCTTAGAAAACTCCCAGTCTATAGAGGAGGCACAGCCCCTTCCCCAAGGGTACCCTCTATCCTTTCTAAGGTATCTCACAGTCCAGTGGGAAGGCACTGTCCACACCCACCTGAGTTGCCAATCAGACAAGGGCAGGATGCCTTGTCCTGGAGGTGCAGTTTGATGAAGAGCTGTGAGGGAAGAGCCTTACCCCCATGAGCCCCTATGTTGAATAGGTGAGGTGGTGCTTTGGGGCAAGGGTCTTAGGGTGGGCATGTGGAGACCCACCTGGGAGAGGACCAGAGCCCACACTGGAGCTAGGGGATGAGGCCGGACAGTGACACGCAGTGGGTGGGAGAAGCCAGGAGTCTGGGTTGGGTGGCCTGTGAAGATTCAATATCAAGGCAAGAATGTGGAGGGGGGGACGACATGGGAGGTGCTGCAGGTGGGAGAGCCCCCCTGAGTTTGAGGTGCCCATGGGGCATTCAGGAAAGAGGTCTGGGGGTCTGGGGCTCTAGGTTGGAGACACAGCTACAGGAGTTGCAGTGTATATGGCCAGCAACCAAAGCCAAAGGCAGACGGATGGACAGGGGAGGCAGACAGTCAGGAAGGTGGGGGTGGGATTGGTAGGAGGGCGCAAGCCCAGCAAGGCCACCTCCAGCCAGTTGCCTGGTCTCAGAGGAAGGAGCCAGAAGCCCAGAGGCCAGATTGATTCTCTGCCCCGAGGCTGCTGTGGTCTCTCCCCAGAGCACGGAACCCACCGAGGAGACCCGTGGGGCTTGGGTAATGGTGTGCCCCGGACCCAATGTCCCTGTGTGCCTGTCACTGGAGGGACAGTTGGATGCATCGTGGTATTTAGTTCAGGAAGAGGAGACAGGGCCGGCCCTTGGCTCACTTGGGAGAGTGCGGTGCTGATAACACCAAGGCCACGGGTTCGGATCCCATATAGGGATGGCCGGTTCGCTCACTGGCTGAGCGTGGTGCTGACAACACCAAGTCAAGGGTTAAGATCCCCTTACTGATCATCTTTAAAAAAAAAAAAAAAAAAAGGAGACAGCTGCTTCTGAGCCATCGAAGGCTGGTGCTGCTGGATGAGGTGGGCCTGCAGTGATCGCTGCATCACACGGTCCAGTCGGAGAGGGGGACGGGGGAGAGGCTGTGATCATCCCCCTTCTACACATGAGGAGATTGAGGGCAAGAGACTTTCCTGGCAAATGACACTGGAGAGCACAAACTCAGATGAAGGCACATCCAGCTCCAAAGTACGTGCTCTTAACCCTCAACTTTACTGTCCCCTGCCCTAGAGGGCAGAACTGGACCCAGATGAAATGTTATAGGAAGGTGGAGATTAGCTTTCTTTAAGGAAAACCTGTGTGCTGTTCAGCAGGGGACACTCACTCTCTAGACAGTGTGGACGACTGAAGCCAGAGATAGCAGACAGGGCCTGCATGTGCCCTAAGATCTTTTCACATCAGTCAATATTTATTGAGCACCTACTATGTGTCAGGCATACTGCTAATCATGTTAGTAATTATCTTGTTCAATTATTTAGTTGCTTGTGTTTATGTGTTTTCTATATCTAGACCATATATTCCAGGGGATCAGAGACCTTGTTTGTTTTATTCTCGCCATTACTCTAAGAGCTTTATATATATTGATATATCATAATAACCTTATAAAGTGGAAACTATTATTACTTCCATTTTTACAGATGGGTAACTTGTGCAGGGTCATGCAGTAAGTAGTTGAAGCTGGATTTCCAGCTTAAGTTTTAACCACTTCACTGTGGTACAGGATCAAAGAAGTGCACATGCTGGGGGACAGAGAAGGGGCAGAAGCTAAGGGCTCCAAGGTGAGAAAGAGTGAAAAGAGTTGGAGAAGGATGTGGGCTCCAGGGCTTCTATGCACGCCGTTCCCCTGGCAGAAGGAAGGGGTGCTGGGTACTTCTAGGCCATTTTGGTTAATGAGTCGGGGGAAGTAAAATGAATCTTCTATTAAATTTCTTGGTGGCTACCTCTATTTGATAATTCTCTAGTGGAAAAAGTTCTTCTTCCTCTTTCTAATTAATTTACCTTGTAATCCAGGATTTTTGTGTACGAGGTATATTCATTCGGTTGTGCATGGAGGGAAGGAAGGGAGGGCCACTTCCTACAAGCACCACTAGGTGTCAGCATTGTCAAGGCAGTTCCCGTGCTGGGCTGGTCCTACCCAGTTCTCTGCAGAGAAGGAGGCTCAGAAGTTGGAATTTGAATCCAAAGCCGGATCTCTTTCCATTGCTTGGTGTTGAATCTGGATTCTAAGGGGCTGGGCTTTGGGCTTTTACCCCAGAGTCTCCTGAGAAACATTTAAGAGGCTGGGTCCTCTCAGGCCTGAGTCCTATATGACCAGGAAGGGCTGGAGGTGTCCAGGGGTCTGGCCCCAAGTGGGACTGTGTGCCTAGACACCTCCCCACCCCTGTCTGTCCACCCCCCCCCCCCCCCCCCCCCCCCCCGGCCCCCCCCCCCCCCCCCCCCCCCCCCGG